TATATATATACATTAGTTTGTTGCTAACACTCACATTTGTGTTGTTTTACTTTGGTTGGCTTTAATGGGAGCAAAATGACCACAGAACAAATTTATGTTTCATTCAAATGATTGTGTAATTAGGTGTGTTTTCTTTACAGCAGCAGTTAAAGTAGAGCTAAAACAATAAAAGTGTACATTATTGACTATCAGAAAACAGGGTGTACAGGTAACATGTCATCTCACAAACTACTGCATATTGGATACTTCAGGGTTGCGCAGTTTATTGATCACCTCTGAGAGCATTTTGTTGCACAGCGCTGCATACGGATTAAGAAGCACAGCCTGCTGCCGAGCAAATTCACTCCCGAGTGCAGCCGCTTTCTCAAAATCAGCTCTCGCTTCATCGTTTTGGCACGCCAGTCTTCGTAAAAGGCCTCTCTGCACCAGCGCCTGGCAGGCAGATCGCCCCGTTCTGCCACTGAGGGCAATGGCTCGGTCTAGATCCTGCACAGCTCCTGAGACAAGAAACAAGGACTGTGAGACTTATACAGGCCTCAAATGCTGATTTTTACTTTATTGTGTCAAATAAGACAATCAGTCAGACCTAAAACCTATAATATTTTTATATATTATGGGTGTCCCAGTACTAGATATTCTCAACCTGAGTACAAATACAAGTACTTCAGTTTGGGTATCGGCCAACACCAAGTACTGATACAGATTAAAACTTAAACATTACACAATGACTTTAAAAACATATCCATTTTATTAAGAACAAGGTTGTGCTCCTGTTGCAGCCCGACAGGATCAAATCAAATATACTGCATGATGTATACTGTGGAAACTTTTTCAAATACATAATAACTAGATACAACATGGAGGTAGCATATGTGACCCCAACCAATGCACCAGAACTCACCAGAACAGATGTATTGTTTTGGGTGGGGGTTCGGATGGGGTGTGGGGGACTCATTGGTGGACCTGACGGATAGTCTTTCATCAGAACTAAACAACGAAAAAATCTGAAGCTCCTATGCTGAATAGTTTTTGAGTTACAAGCATATTTGTTTGTCCAGACACCCCCTTTTTAGATGGAACCCCCTTTTCAAATATGTGGTCTATTGTAAAACCGTTGGCTGGTGCAGTGTAGGTTGGATACATCTACATTCCTGCCAAATTTCACGTTGATTGGTGCAGCTGGCTCTGTGCTACGGTTCACCAAAAATCACTAACAGAAAAACAGTATGATAATATTATGACCCCCACTTCGCATGCGGGGGTGGGGTGGGGGGTTGGGGTTACAATATATACCATATTTATTCGTGTATAATACAATCTCATGTACAATACGACCCCCCCTTTTTTTGAGTTAAAAAGCATAAAAACTTTTATCCTCAAACTACCTCCAATTTCAYACAGACTTCAAGATTTTTCAGCCTTTGCAGTCTTTATACATATCAGTAAAATGATCATTGGACTGTTCATTTTATTTTAACAACATATGTACTAAAAGGTATTTTGACAACAAATATATATCAGCTGTAGCAGCATCATATGAATTCTGGCATTTTACACATAGTCCACCAGGAKGCGCCAACACAAAAGTCAGAGACTTCACCTGAGATTTGGGACATCTTCTGGGGGAAAAGCAGATTACTTCCTACTCGCGAGCACCCCCCTCTGGTGGGGAAACTTTTTTCAGAGATACAAACTTTTTCAGAACACCGGTAGACGGCAGCCATTACAGACGAACATGTGTTTGTTGTTGTTCGAGGAGCGGCTTGGTCACACGCTAATGTCATTAGTTTGTTATCATCACTAAGGTGCAGGACTGCTTCCCCACCCACGTTTTTTCACATCATGTCGCCTGTCTGGATCTGTTATCTCGCTCTGAAGCACGGAGGAGTGTCAGAGGTAAGCTTGTTTCAACTGATTTTTATGACGTGGTCTCATTTCAGGACTCTGGCATTTTGTGAATGAAGCCGATATTTTAGTTAAAATACATAAGTAAAAATATTTATCTGATTATAGTAGTACCCCCTAACTTTATGGATGATTTTATGGATTTAATTTTACGTATTATACTTGAATAAATGTGGTAATTCATAGACATGGAACTGACAAACTTTTCGTGCTCTTGAAATGTGTTTGATCACAACACCACACATATTGCACGCACATATACACATATACGCACACACACACACGTTTATATACACA